AAATTTGCTAATGATGAGATAAAAGGATTAAAATTTTTTGTATTTTATTTAAAAATAATATAACTTTTTTTTATTAAAAATAGAAATTGGTGTGTGATTATACTATTTTAATTTATTTTATTTATTTATTTTCTTTTTTTAATAAAATTAATAATTTTAATAATAAAAAAATAAAGAATACAGGTAATTGTTTTTAAATAAGTTTTTATTGGTCATTTACCATTGAACAACAATAAATAATGATTGAATAATCAAAAAGTTATATTCATCAAATTTGTTGTCTGTTGTCTATTATCCACTTTCTCTTATTTGCCACCCACTTTCCCTATCCAACACCTATTACCAACTATTTATCGGATTTTCTACACATTTTTTAGGCACTTACCATGTGTGCTTGAAAAGTCCAAGGCGTGTACACTGCCTTTTAGGCTCTTCATTTATGCGTTTGAGCAATATTATTCATTTTTAGCAAGGTTATCAATACCATATCAGAATGCATAGTGATTTTATTATTGGTATAATATGTAGTATTATTTTAAATTTATTGTTATAAATATATATTTTTATAAATTAAATATAAACTTTAACAATTTTACTTATAAATATAAACATACATCATAATATTTATATAAATCCATCATGTGTAACTTCATCTCCCATTTATCTTCTAGAAGACCAAAATCCCTTCAATGCTTTAACTTATAGCCATTTCTTTTTCTAACTATTAACAATCTAAAACACGCTGCTCCTCTTCTCTTTTTTTAAAACTTTTACTTTCTCACATAATGTTTCGATGAAACTCTATATTTATTACTTAAGAGATTTTTGCAATTTTTAAAAATTGTTATGGTTAGTCTTTTTTTATGCTCTATATTATTAGCCTTTAAAGGAAATCCACATTTTTCAAGTTCTTTTTCATTTTCTTGTCTTATTTGGGTCTAATTGAGATTATATTTTAAGTTGCATTTTGCATTTAAGCCTTTTTTTTTTTTTTTTTTTGACTTTTTCTATTTGTGTATTGTTTATGTGTACTGATCGATACACTAAATTTCAGCTGGTATGATCAGTATTTGATTAATACAATCAGTATTTGACTCAGTACAATATTTAAAGTATAGTGTGCTGATTTTACTTTTAAGTCGGTGCATATCAACAGTACCAGCAAGTAGAATACAAGATCAACACCCTTGATTTTCGGCGCTTTTTAATTAAGCGCTCAAAAAAAAAAAAAAAATGAAGCGCCTATATTGTTCTGGAATTAACAAAAAAAAAAAAAAAAAGAAAAAAGAAAAAAGAAAAAGGAAAAATGACATCGTGTCATAATCTTTCCATAACCAATTTTAAGTCTCCGTGTTCTTTTCCCTTTTGCATTCTCTTTCTTAACTGTTTTTGTTTCATTTCCAAAATGTCTCCATTAGGTAAGCGTAAACCCCAAACCAATTGTAGGTAAGTGAATTATGTAAATTTGGTTAAGAGCAGGAGTACCCTTTGCATTCCAAAATAATAAAGTTTAAGATTTTCTTGGTTGATCAAAAAAAAAAAAAATTTATTGGTAAGTTTTGAAGCAATTGTAGCTTCAATTTTGATTTTGATATCTCTTCAAACTTGATATTCATTTTGATTCTGATTTCTCATACTTTAATTTCATGTTATTCTTTGTGTCTTCTCCTTCAAATCTCATCAAGTACTCTAGGTTTGCATCTTCAAAACACTAGATCTTTAGCATTCAGTTTTTGAAGTTTGAGAATTGAATTCTAGGAGTTCTTTAGCATTCGAAACACTAGATCTTCTTTCTTCAATTTCTGCATGTGGTTTTTTGTTTAGTTTAAGCTCGAACTTTGAATTCAGTTTTTGAACTTGGGTTTTTCTTTACTCAAAAATGACATGAAATTAGGACTTAGAGAAATATGTTGGTGGAATCGGCCAAACAGAGGTGATGAAGGAAATTAAACAATTCTGTGGTATAACCGGCTATATGGAAGAAATTGATTAATTTTATTCAAATTCATTGCATGTTGAAAAAGTATGATTGAAACTTTTATTGAGTTATTTTTTTGATTGAACGAAATGATTAATTCTATTTTAGATCTTAAATTCTTGTCAAAGATGAAATCAATGATGTAATAGATTTTAAAACACCATAATCTCTGATTTTTAAAGGACTGGATGACCATGTGAACAGACTTCTAGTTTGTAGAATTCTTGATTACCCAACAAGTCAATGTATTACAATTAAAGAAAAACAATATCTCTTGTATTAATTTGTAACCATCAATAAGAGTTTGATGAGTTGGTGTCTATTAATTTAAAATTTTTGATTTGAAATTATGTTTAGAGATTCAAATCTCTATGGTACGAAACAACTCTCTAATGTAAAAAAAAAAAAAAAAATTGTAGCTATCTTGTACCACAATTCTGTGTTTGCAGTCGGTGGAGTGATGGCTTTTCTAATTCTAACTCTGCATGAAATGATTCCATTGGCATTTGATTATGATGGGCAGATGCAAGCTGTCAAGGCTGTGCTCCCAATACTATCTTTTGTTGTGATTATTATCTAATGGATGAGGCTAAAGAGTTAAGAATAAAGTTAATAAAGTTATACTTAGTTTAAATAAGACTCTGGGTGGATGATTTTCTTTTAAAATAATAGCATATACTGCGGTGCATCTTGTAGAACTGAAGTTAATAAATTTAGGGTATAAGTTCCTGCTTTGAACTGAAGTTATTTTTTT